GCAGAGGACAGTACGACTTTACCCCGAGACCGCCTCGTAGCACGATTACTCGTAGTACGGTGTCTCATTGCTCTTCGTTTGGCTGCTCCCCTTTGGCCTTCCTGGCATGGTTGCATCTTGTGGAACGAAGTTTCAGCCAGTGTATCCCGCGGGATCATTGCAGCACTCAAGCCCGACCACCACGTCAAGGTGGCAGGTTTAGGTCGGGTCAAGTCTGGGTGGGGTACACCAAAAATTTATATAAGAACGATTTCCTACAATGGGGACCCCTAGCCCATTTTATTGCAATATTCATGGGAAACTCATGAGGTTAACCAAGATTGATCACTTTAGGGGGGTAGCCAGCGTGGAAACACTTCGCGCTGAAAATGATCGCCGGTAACGATGATTACGCGAGGATTGACTGCTACTCAGATAAGATTCTCTGTATATAGGCAGCTACCTAAATAAGCCAAACGGATCTTGGCCGAATTTCCTCAGGTGTAAACTGAACATCATAAAAAAATGACTTGATAGAGTCGAATGAGTAGGCTCACCTGGAACCCAGCTGAATCTCTCGTTTATGATGTTCTCAGGCAACTGAATGTGCTGCACCAGGCCGCCTCAAGTTTCAGTCGCTACGTTATTTGAAATATCGCGATACATGTATACCTTTGTAATGTACTACTCATAAGGTTGCTGAAAATCCATCGACAGCCCACGACCGGTTTCGCCCTTTTTGGGGGCTCATCAGGTAGGCGCAGTCCCCTGGTTTCCGTCAACCTTATGTTCTAACTGAAACCAAATTGCACGAAATTAGCGAATATACACTCATTTGCAAACTAATTTGGTTCTTTCGAGAGACTCACCTGGAGCCCAGCTGAATCTTTCGTTTATGATGTTCTCAGGGCGAAACCGGTCGTGGGCTTCGACGGATTTTCAGCAACTTTATGAGTAGTACATTACAAAGCTTTCTAGACTACTTCACACACCTAATGAACAGCATAAATCAATATGGCAAAACAAATGTGTGGCTTCTTGTCATTGTTTCTATTTTTCCAGAAAAAAACTCACACAGGAGCAGATTCAACATTTACCCAAAATATGGCCTGATATTTTCACTTTACAACATTTTTCTTTTGAATAAATAAGCTACAAAGCTGATCTTCAGATTCCAGCTAAACATCAATGATTTTCCTACCACCAATGAGGGAGAAAAAAGGATCCCGTTCACTAATCGATCATTTATCGGAATTCACAGCAGTTGCTGAAGAAACAAGTGTTTGTTCTACACAACTTCTCATCATCCTTAATCATCCGCTTTGGGGCGGGACTCCATGAGACATTTGGTCTATCTGTTCCATATCTGTTCCTTATATCACTCAGAGTTTAGCACATAAGTACACACAAACACACAAGTACAACTGTCAATTAGGATGCAAGTTAGCCTCTGTACTGTCGCCAGGGTGACAGACCCTTTCCCCAATTGTCGCCTGTGGATTTTCGCCTCTCCGTAACTTGAATTCTAGTAAGTATGATCCCAGAGTGGCCTTCATAAAAAGTGTTCAACCTTCCAGAAACCAGTTGGCTAAACTGATGATTCATTTGAGAAAAAGGAATAAGTTAATCAATAAACGGGAACATCAACTACTCAATTCTCATAAAAGGAGCACACAGGTTGATAAACGGACAGGTCGTTAAACTCGTAACAGTACCGCTCGATAATTCAGTAAAGCATTCGGTTCTACACCTCGCATCCTAATCCCTGTGTTTTATATTACTATTAGAGCCACAATACTACTTATAAAGTTGATGAGCATTCTTCGCTGGCCGAAAATTGTCCAGCGTAAAACCTAGATGAGAATATTCGCCACAAGCAAGGATAGTACTAGGAGATGAAGGAAAGATGGTACTGTCAGGAATAAACTGCGAAACAGCATCTGTTGATTTTCATACACTGATGAAGTGGTCGAAACACCGACAGACTGTCTGTGAAAAAGCAATCACGAATGAATTAGGATTGGCGGTGTTTCTAATTCTGTCACCGATGACTTTTCATGACGATCTACCTCCACTCTCTCCAGGAATAGTTTGGTCTAGCTATAAACCAAGTTCATGTTGAACTCGATGTGACGGACTAGTTCCCATCTGCCGGAACAAAACACTAATTTCACGAAACGTCCGGATAGGCAACAATTCAGACCAACTCAGACCAAACAGCAATCGATAATGGGCATCGCTGTCAACATACTCAGTACTGCGATTTGCTTGTGGAGTATCTACTCCAACGCTAGTGAAGGACCAGAAAATGAATGGTTTTCACCGGCTATCCAAATTGTTTGTCCAATGACTCATGTGTTTTCTTATTTCTAATGCTGTTTAATGACAAATTGAGTTGTATTACAAAGCAACCTTGATGCGTCATTCTTTGTGGGAGTAATCAACATTCAAGTAATCAATGGCGATTCCTCGTGAACTCTGCGTCACTGTAAACTTATGAGACAGAAGTTTTGGTCTGCACTTTAGAGGCATTTTGAATCGATGGATGAGCTTCCAGTTTTCACCTCAAGTTTGATAAAAACACTCGCTGACATCAAGTGCGATCACTGTTTTGTAGATAGTTCTGATTCAACCGATCGCCACAACCAGGACAGCCACTGGGTCATCGTTCGATGAGTCGGGCACACCAATCAAATCTCTCAAGCGTGAACACGTTTGCCCGTTCAGACGGGAAAATTCAGATTCGCCCAACATGCGTCCGTGGAGCTCACCTCACATGTCAGTTGTCCGTGAACACGTTGCCCGTTCAGACGGGAAAATTCAGATTCGCCCAACATGCGTCCGTGGAGCAGGGATAACACGCTCACCTCACATGTCAGTTGTCCGTCCTTTGGTGTCTGGCACAACCATTGGAAATGCAGTGCTGATGAGCTCCAATAAGAGCAAATTTCCAGTCCATTGCTTCCTCCTTTGGTGCGGACTCACCAGAATAATTACGCCAGAACAGGAGGGCGAACGTTCAAACGAGAAACGAATATGGACTTCTGACTCACTTTACTTTCAAAGTTTGAAGGTGGTGGTGGTCCCACCTCGGTAACTCATACTTCGATTTGGGGGAAAAGTTCACTTTGTGGTAGTAACCGTTTCAACTTCACGCGCATTTCCAATCGCTCAGAAAATTAACTTAAACGATTGCGCTAAGGGAACTGCCAGGGAATTGCACACCAGAATCGGTGAGTATGAAAGAAGAATATTAACAAACCACCAAGGAATGCAGAAGAATACCAAACGCTGGTCAAAGACTCAGCGATGGCGGTACATGCCTTAGACACGGGACATAGAACAGATCTGGAGAATGTGGAAGTCTTAAGACGGGGACTGCGATTCACACCACAACGGCTGATAGCCGAGGCGGTGGAAATCACTAAGCATCACAGCGTGAATAGAATCGAGGGTGTGGAGCTAGCGAGCGTATGGAAAGCGGTCTTAGATAAGCCGAGTTGACACGTGACGGTGTGGTTGTCAATCCACTTAGGATCATTAGAAAAAACCGGGGGGTAGGGGTGGAAACCCCAACCGACCAAAGGTCACAGCATCCCTCCTACACAACTTTCTTAGCACTAGCTCACCCACACAGACTAACAGAAGGTTCAAACGAAGTTCAAGAGGAACCATCAAATGAACCGAACCAGAAGAACTAGACCCTAGGCTGGACCCAAACACATGTAGGTTTCCCCACCGACCCAACACTTGTTCAACCACTCTAACAGACTAAAATCCCTCAGCTTGACTTAGCTGATTGGTTCTCCTCCCGCCTTAAATCTCCACCAACCTCGGAACCTAGTCACTTGGCCTGACGAAGGTTTTATGTCAAAAGCGAAACGTTGCCCAGCAATAAATCTACCGATTGTCACCAAACTTTTTCGAAAACTTGTCGGAAGTTTTATTTTCTTCACTTCCTCAAAAGATTTATGCCGAACTTTGCTTGCCTGAGCAAGGTTTTACGGATTTAATGGTCCTAAAGCTGCTCTCAGAAAATGCACCCAAATTATGATACTTAGAGGCTCAACCATATTAAGATAATATCAGCGAGCAGCTGAACATCGCTCACGTTCACTTCGTCACAAATGGTGAAGTTTTCCTGCACTGTCTCTCAATGAACACATTGCTTCTTATCTATGGTAGACAGTCTTTTTAGATAGACAATACACATTCCCTGATGAAATGCGATCACCATTAATCCACAAACAGCTGAGCGGGAGAATAATTTCACAAGATGAGTAAAAATTCCTCGTGAGAAGTCATCACTGAAGTAGCCAGTAAGTTCGTGACCACGTGATTGAAGGACGGGTGGCGTTTTGCCCTGTCCAATTGAGAGGTAATCACACTACGGCTTAGCCACTCGTGGTCAAACAATTAGGTTTTCAACCACTGGTCGGAAGACCGAAACCCTGAAGATGTTTCCCAACAAGGATGAGACAGTGGTACAATGCTTCTCGACTTTTCAACGCAGCTTGACCACGCTGACGGGATGAAATCCGTTCTGGAAACTAGTCGACGGACTTACTCATCTGCTGTCCAAGCTTAGGGAAATTTGCCTTTTTTCAATCACAGAAACATCTGAAACCGCTTCATTTGCATGTGAGATGAAGGGTCTATACCCCTGCGTGGATAGTTATTATGAGTTCTTTTGTAGCATGGAGTATTTGATTTGAAAACCATTTTGTCCAGACTCAGTTATTTTGGAGCTTATCAGAAGTTTACATCGATGTGTGCGTGGAGATCACATGACCACCTTTTTGAGTTATCACGTTTGAGTAGGCAAAATTAACCACGCTGTGACTGCTGCCCCAACAATTCAAACTCAGTTGTACTGGTCACGTACGTTATCTGATTCATCCATGGAAACTTCTGAATGAGGACGCACCAAACGCGCTTGAAACTCGCTAGAGAGTAGCTTAAGGCTGTGTAGGCTGTGCTATCCCGTCACGGAGAGACTGGACCTTACCGTGGTGTGACGGTTCGCGCACCTCAGTGATCCATTGAGCTATACTGGAGAGTGTCCCGCGACACTCACAGAGTCTCTCATACCAGCTTGGTCAATGGTTAGAGTTCTGACGAACACAGTCTCCTGGCCCTCCAGGTTGGGGGTTGGAACATGTGGCGACTTGTTCCGTAGAAAT